CTGGTCCTGACACATTTCTTACAAGTCAGTTAAGGCTTATTCACATGAGTGGCCAGGGGGTGGTTAAAAAAAAGGGTCTAAGCTGTGATTTTGCCCCCCCCCCCAACATTCCACCTAAACAGAGACAGACAGTAAGTCAGGGCTGTACACACGCTGTGGCCACAATTCTGTGCTTCGCGGCTGCAGGAGGAATGAAGCATCAGATTGTATTTGGCGGGCGGTACCACTGGCAAAGGTGACCCATTCAAGTGAATGATGCCATGCTGCAACTTGGGCAATGCATGCTGGTACGGTGCGGTAGGGCAGGATTTTGAGGGTGAAAGCAGGCAGTGAGGAGGTGACAGATCAGCTGCTCGCCGTCTGTCAAATGCCCTCTGAAGAGACAGATCTTCAGATCACTTTCCAGAGGGGCAGCATTATTAGACACACATGTGATTGAACCCTAATGCAGGCCATAGACGGTTGGTTTGTCGGCCGAATTTACATCCGAAAGAATAATTGGCTGATATTCGCATCGTTAGTGGGGCAATGTCGTCGGCCGGTTTTCGCAGTTCCTCCTCGTTTCTTTTATCGGTCATGCTGGAAAATGTACGAAAAACGCCTGATTTTCGTAAGCATTGGTGGCAACAGAACAACTGACTTTTCGTTTTTTTGGCCGAAAATTCATCCGATAAACGAACCGTCTATGGTCTGCATTAGGATGAAGGCTAACACACCGATGTTTGAAGAGTGTGTTCTGTCACTTTCATGATCCAAGTTTAAAGTTCCACGCACACTGAGGCATTTTAGTAATGCTGGTAGCATTAGCGCTGTAAAGTTGTGTTAAAAAGTTTTAGCATTTTTTTACAGAAAAAAACTAATAAAACTCTTGCTAATAAAAAAAACGCCAAAAAATGCCTGTTTGCCACTTTTTACTGCGTTTTTTAGCACTAGAGCGTTTTTACAGCTAAAATACTCCTAGAAACCCACTAGTCCTGAGTTTACTTTTCCAGCCCCTGCCAAAAAACGCTGATTAAAGCTCATGTGTGCACATAGGATAAGATGCTGGGGGGTTTACTGACTGTAGAAAAAAACACCAAAAGCCAAAAACAGCCGCTGTAAAAACATCCAGTGTGCATGAGGACTAAAAATAAACCAGTGATTGAAATGTCAGAAATAAGAACTGTTTGTGTTTAATAGACTTTTCATATGAATCAGACCCATCCAGGGGACTAACAAAGATTGGTAGATGGAGAAATATGCGCCAATTTCTAGATGTACACTTTAACATTGAGGAGCACATTCACACTAGACTAGAAGTTTCCGGGCGTGCTTGTTAAACAAATCCTGAATGCATGTGTCATAAAATCAGTGTTTTCCACTCACTGGTTGAGGTGATTGTAGCTGTATTAGTACACTTGCGACAGAAACAATTGAGTACTGTCCGTGATACTTTTTTATTTGCACCAACATACAATTGTGAGGACAAGCTTTCAGGGAATGTCCCCTTCTTCAAGGTCTGAGTACTGCTTGGACCTTGAAGAAGGAGACACTACGCGAAAGCTTGTCCTCAAAATTGTATGTTAGTGCAAATAAAAAAAGTATCATGGACAGTACTTAATTGTTTCTGCCACTCACTGGTTCAAACTACTGCATTCACTTTCAGTGCTTTAGGAAAAGGTACAGCAGCAGCAATTTGTTTTCACTGGAATGCATATTAAACGCAGCACGAGCGGTTTTGTATACTAAATAAAGAATGAAGGAAAAATGACAGCAAAAAAATTGCACTAAAATGCACTACAAATTCATTACATACTCGTGTAATGCGCAAGCAGAATCACACATTGAACATGGGGAAGGCAGTGTGATCAAATCTTTATGTGCCAAGTAATAAAAGTCATGCACCACACCAGGGGCGGATTGATAACTCGTGGGGTCCCCGGGCAATAGGGGATCATGGGACCCCTGTGTCCTTGCCCACACTTAAACTACACCCAAAAAAAGCCTATGAAAGGTACCAGGGGCATCTCATAGGGCACCCTACTGACCCCCGGCCCTCGGGCAGTGCCCAAGTTCCCAAATGGTCAGTCCACCCCTGCACCACACTCTCATGTTGCATGATAACAGTGCGCAGTCCTTCCATACACGTCCCCCTCCTTGCTGTCCACCCCACTTCACTACACTCTTTATGTGGTAATGGTGTACATTTGGGAACAATGTTTAACTGCAAACATTGACGTAAGTGCTTGTTCATTTGGAAGATGCCATCAGACAATTAAAACTGTAACATATCACTTTTAGCCCGGGTTCACACTGTCACATCACATGTGACTCACACAGGAATCACTGCATTCCTGTGCAAATCAAACACGAGTCTGTGTGTTGCAATTTGATAATTGTATATGATTCAAATCACACTGCATCCACGCGAAATAGGTGCAAGCACCTTTTATTTTTTGCTGCACTGGAATGGGATTGCATGAATGTTCATAGCCATACGATCCGTTTCAGGCAAATGTACTGTGTTCTGCAACCTGCTTTTGTGGTGTCGTTAACTTTTAATTGACACCCACAGCAAGCAGATCGCATGAACACAGCGCAATTGCTATGCGATGTGATGCAGGAAACACAGCAATTCCTGTTCTTTTCCTGCATTGCGTCAGTGTGAACCAAGCCTTACCCTCCGTTCACATCAACGCCGACTTTGAAATCGTGTGACTTACAGTGAAGTCGCACGATTTCAAAGTCGGGGGACCCGCCGATTTCAGGTGCGATTTTGTTACATAATGAGTTTATGTGATATCTCCATTAACCACTGTAAATAATATTGTAATTATGAATATATTACAGTTAGAGCTGTAAAGTGTGGGTGTGCAATATGTCTTCCCATAAATTCCTGTTCTATAGATACCATAGTTGCCAAAGGGAATATTCTATTAATTTCACCTTCTTTACTGTATAACAGAAGTCTTTGCTGACAATCCTATTTCAGACAGTTCAGTGCCAGAGTTATTTTATCTAGCAATGGGACAAAATCTGGTGTCTTCACAAATAGGAACTTGAAAGGATCCCTCATTTAGATATGCAATGAAGGTGGCCAGCCATTCATGAATACTTAGATTCCCAGGAAAAGGTCATGAATTTCGCATGCTTAAATTCCATAAGGGGTGGGCCAAGATTTGCCTTAAAGGGGGTTGGTATATGCTAAATACAGGGGATTTGAAGTAGTTAGCCATTATGAAAGGGAATGGATTTGCCAACCAATCAGAGATATGCCATGAAAATTAGTGGAGGATAGACCTATAACTATAGACACTCTCTCTTTGGGACCCCGGGGACGTCCAGTTGCATGGTAATTATGGCATATATCCCTTGCACTTATATCTAAATGTTTGTCTTATGTCTTTTCTCTCTCACTGTTTGTATTTTGTAATATGCTCGAGCTTTCTTTATAATGTTTCTTTTATGTAACTAGATAGATTGTTTGTGTTAGTTTAGACCTCCATCCTATTCACCAATAAATTTTGCTTGTTGTGTTTAAAGCTTTCACTTCTGGGTAAGAACTCTTAATTTACCAAATCATATCAGAGAAATATTATATTTCATAATCTATAGATTTGGTCAACAATTTGCAAGATAACTAATACAGATGTCTATGCAAATCACAGCAGAAGTAGTGCATGTACTACTTTTGAAATCGGTGCAGCTCTGACCAAGTCGGAACCCCGCGGATATGACTGATCTAATTGCGGACAATAGGATGCGAATTCGCATGCCAAGTTGCATCCAGTGTGAACCAGGGCTTAAAGTGTTTTGGCACAGAACTTATGTAAAAGATTTGTTGATTTGGCAAACAGAAAATGTGCCAATATTCTAAAAAAAAAAAAAGATATATTTCTCTTTGTTAACCCCAACCTTGTGTTATATCGTAATGTTACCATTATTCATATTTAAAGAATCACCCCCCTTTAAAAATAATCACATTTTGTTGCTTTGCAGCCTAAAATGAAGAAAGACACAGTTTTTATTTTGTCTAGCTGTATTTACTCATGCAACTTATAACATCCAAGTGAAAGATATAACACCAACATGTCAGGAAAGAAAATACATTCAAAAACAGAATCACTGAGTTGGACAAAGGATCAGCCCTTTGTGTCAGTATTTTGTTGGACCACCTTTTGCTTTAACCACTTGCCCTCCTGGGGGTTTACCCCCCTTCCTGACCAGGCCATTTTTTGCATTACAGCGGTGCGTTATTTTACCTGACAATTACACGGTCGTGCAACGCTGCACCCAAATTAAACTTATGTCCTTTTTTCCCCCCATGAATTGAGCTTTCTTTCGGTGGTATTTGATTGCCTGTGTGTTTTTAATTTTTCACGCTGAAAAAAAAGAAACGACTGACAATTTTGAGAAACACAGTATTTTGGACTTTTTGCTATTAAGCACTAGCCTACAGGGCAAATATACCCCCTTCCTGCCGAGGCCAGTTTGCAGCTTTCAGCACTGTCACACTTTGAATGACAATTGCGCGGTCATGCAACACTGTACTCATATTAAATTTGTATCATTTTTTTGAGACAGAGCTTTGTTTTGGTGGTATTTAATCACCTCTGGGTTTTTTATTTACTTACTGGCACTGTTAGGTGGCACTGACTGGCACTGTTAGGCGGCACTGATGGGCACTGATAGGGGGCACTGATGCACACTGATAGGCGGCACTTACTGGCACTGATAGGCGGCACTGATAGATGGCACTGATAGGTGACACTGAAAGGCAGCTCAGATGGTGATGTGGCATTGATGTGCACTGGTAGGCACTGATATGTGGCACTTATGGGCACTGGCACTGATGAGCACTGACAGCTGGCACTAATGGACACTGACAGGTGGCACTGCTGGGGCTACACTGATTATCAGGGCACACTGATCATCAGTGCTCTGATGATCTGTGTACATGTCCCCTCCGAGGAATGCCGATTACCGGCTCTCCTCTCGAGCCTTCAGCGTGACAGCTCGTGAGGAGAGAAATGCCGATAACCGGCATTTCCCTATTTACATGCGATCAGCTGTGATTGGACACTTATCCCCTTTGATGATGTGTGATTAGCACGAAACGTGTCAGGGAAGGAGCTACAGCGTCATTATCTCTCTGCTGCCGGCACCATGGAGGTCCCGGCGGCCATCTTCTATTCCACCTCATGGTCAGTGTTTTTTCTGATTCCTTTACCTATGCTATACTGTATGAAAATAAAATTCATTCTTTAAAAACGGTATCACGCTATTGGTCTCCTTTCTTTGTGGCCCTTGGTGAGTCACTTATCACCTATAGAGCCACCCAAAGGGGAGACCGTGGATTGTCAGCAACATCCAGCGGGGGGAGGAATACCTGGCCTGACCTGACCTTTAGGAGCTACCAGTGGATCCAGTAGAGAATATTTATCTCTAAATGCGCAGTTACACTGTGCATCTGGTGAGTGCACAGCCTTACCCTTCTCACTATCACCGCATGGAAGAAGCACTTTGAAGGAGAGGGATTGTCACTAAGACTGTTTATTTTGTACTGCATGTTACTCTGCTTGTGACATAATGTTTGTGATCACATTAGTCACCTAATCACTATATATTGACATTTTGGACGTTTTTGCATAATAACATTTGTGATATAGCGCCGCATCTTTTATATTCTATGTGATTGGACACAGCTGATCACATGACCAAGCCGACATCTTCAGTTCTTTCCGTCGATCGGTGATCCGCTGTGTCCTAGGGACTTAGTGCACCACCGATCGCTGCGCGCCCCCGAAGCCGTGCATGCGCAGTTAGAGTGGGAGGACGTCATATGAACATCCCAGAACGAGAGAACCGCGTTGCGCCCATCATTACCTTATATGGCGGGCAGGAGGCGGTTAAACATATCCAGTAAAAAAAATTTAAAAAAAAATTTCGTCATAAATTTAGGCCAGAATATATTTTGCTCCATGTCTTTGCTAAAAAAAATCCCAATTCTGTAAATTAATTGGTTTACTCGAAAGTTATAGCGTTTACGAATGGCGGCATGGATACTGGAATTATATTTATTTTTAATAGTACTGTGGCAGGCATTCTGACAAGAATTTGATGGTATTTTGCCCCAACCATTTTTCCTTCTATCCTGACAAGTGCGCCAATCCCTGCTGCAGAGAAACACCCCCATAACAGGATATTACCTCCATGCTTTACTGTAGGAATGGTGTTATTTGGATGATGAGCTGTGTTGGTTTTCTGCCAGACATATAGTATAGTGTTGAGGCCAAATAATTAAATTTTAGTCTTATCTTACCATAACAACTTTTTCCATGTGGCCTCAGAATCTTCAAGGTGTGTTTAGGCAAAGCTCAGTGGTGACTGCATGTGACATTTCTTGTGGAGTGGCTTTTTTCTTACAACCCTCCCATGCAAGCCGGATTTGTGGAGAATTTGTGATATTGTTATCACATATACACAATGACCACTCATAAATTCCTACAACTGCTTCAGAGTTGCTGTAGGCCTCTTGGAAGCCTCTCTGACCAGTTTCCTCCTGGCTGTTTCATCCAGTTTGGAGCGATGTTCTGATCCAGGGAGGGTCTGTGTTGTACCAAATACCTTCCACTTCTTTTCAATGGACTTCAATGGACTTTTTTTTCTATCCATCTCCTGACTTGTGCCTGTCCACAACTTATCCCGTTGAACTTTTGACAATGTTTTGCCACCCATAGTTGATTGTTTGCTTTCAGTTGCAGTACCAGGGACTGAGATGCTCCAGGAAAGTTCTTTTCATGCTAAGCTAGTCAAAATGACCACAGCTGATAACAGTTGAAAGTCAAATGGCTTTGTGTGCCATTGAGAAGGTGATTAGCTACACCTGATTGAGTTTACAAGTTATTTTTAGGAGGGCAGAGTGATCCTTTTTCCAACTCTGATTCTGTCTTTTGAATTAAAAAAAAAAATAATTCTGATATGTTGGTGTTACATCTTTCACTTGGATGGAGATACAGCTGGATAAAACAAAAATGGTTTGTCTTTTGAAATCCTTTCTCTCCTCTCTTTGAAGGGATGACAGTTTGGGCTAGAGGGCTTTTGATTGGTCAGCAAAGTCACATGGACTGTGCTGACAAATCAGAAGCCGTTTAGCCCGTACTGTCATCCCTGCCAGGAGAGGAGAGAAAGCCATGGGGATTTCAAAATCCACAGACCTGTAAAGCAGTTTCCTCTCCTCTCCTTGTAGGGATGACAGTACAGGCTAGATGGCTTCTTGTTGGTTAGCACCGTACATGTGATCATGCTGATCAATCAAAAGCCCTCTAGCCCAAACTGTCATCCCTGCAAAGAGAGGAGACAAAGCCGTGGTGATTTCAAATTCATGTTCCATTCTCTCCTCTTCTACAGCTGAGAATCCAGAGCATCTGCCAGCAGCTATACATCCCCACACACCCTTCTCTCGCACTCTCCGCTGCGGGAAACCTTCTTCCACTGCTCCTGCGTGAACAGTCTGGTTTCACACAGGAGCAGTGGGGAAACTGCATGTGATTTGGACAGGAATTGCATTCCTGTTAAAATTACATGCTATTCTTTGCTGTGCAATTTGCGTCCATACATTTTATATTGACACAAAATATCGGTACTCGGTATCAGCGAGTACTTGCTGAAAGTATCGGTACTTGTACTCGCCGATCAAAAAAGGGTATTGGTACATCTCTACTAATAATCTCTTAGTGATGTCAGCCAAACTGAATGTTTGCCTAACCTTGGCTCTACATCATATGATTTGCTATGGGTTGGGAGCACGTTGTCACATGTAATAATAAACGGTTTGATGTGACTACACTCATTATAAACCAGTATGACAGAATGAGTCACAGACTGAAATCACCTTGTCATTTTATGAAGCATTTCCTCGTGGCATTCAGTTTCCCACACTTCAAACATCACCAGCAATGTAAGCAAATGATTCATAGGCTAAAGGTGAACTTCAGTTTTACATTCTGAACAATTTTAATTTTTTTGTATGTTTTTATTGTGGTCTGTGTCCCCATTGGGGAGATTTCTCCTCACTTTATGTCCTGGTGATACGTTGTCACCTCAACAGGAAGTGAGGAGAAATCAATACCAGCAGTGACAAGACACTTGTATTTAGTAGGTTGGAGAGGGTTTGAACCCTTTTTTTCTGGGGGTTTTGGTGACACCTGTCCCCTTCATCAGTGATATCTGAAGAAAAAATAACTTTAGAAAGGTGTCAGTGTTTCCAGCAGATTTGTTAATTCTGGTGTGAATTAAACATTCAATAGATTTTTCTATGTTGTTAACAGGGATAAAAGAGTGAAGAGGATTGTGGATTTGTCCATGGAGTAGAGGAACTGACCAGGTGCCAACATGAAGCAGCTCCAGTTGGTGGAGCCAGTGATGGCCATCTACTGCTTTGCAAGTTTTGTCAGTTTTCCAATAATAGGGCAGTACATCTATCGCAGGATGTGGGAAGATGAGTTTAATAATACACTTACCTTCAATGACAACGTGTCACTCTGTGAAACCAATCAGAGTAGCCCCAACTATATCCATCAAAAGGTAAGAGCTTATTAAAATGACTGTTTATTTAAAGCCCAGATGAATGAATTACATTCTGGATGCATCAAAACAAAAGGTGTTCAAAGTCTCGCAGTTCATTTTCTTTACAAAGCGGCCTCAGGGTAGAAAAGCCTGTCCTCTGACAGCATGCAGCAGAGTTGGGCCTTTGCTGTCTGTGGGGAAGCAGTGGTCTCTCTGCAGAACTCTAACCGTAGAGTCAGTGCTAGAGCTCCCCACTCAATCAGCAGGGAACATGGGCTTTATGCCTGACTCAGCAGAGGTGTGTTGGATCTTTGCAGAGAGATGACTGCTTCTACAAGTTCCCAGAACCTTTCACTGTTCTGACTGCATTTAACCCCTTGGCGCCGGCGCCTCCCGGCCCTTTAAGGGTTTCAGAAGCCGGGAGGCGGGGCGGGTTTAGGGTCATGTGATGGCGGTCACATGATCGGGAAAGGTCCCGATCGAAAGAGGAGATCGGGACCTTTCCTTGAGTACCAGACGTGTGCTTTTTCAAGTGTAAATTGGCCTTTTACTATGCAGGCAGCTGTCGGTGGTAGGTCTGGAAAGGGGTGGTGTGATGCATTATTAGGTGTACTTTTTTTTTTTTTTTCCTTCCAAACTCCTTGAAATGTCAAAATGACATGTCATTCATTTCCATCCGCACAACGTGGCTGCGACGCGTACGAATGGTCAATATAGGAAGCCTTCAGGTGAGCTACAGTCTGTTGCAGAAAAATGCATACAGTATGCATTTTTCGGCACTTCGCTGCCCTGTATCCAGGAGGCTCCATTGCAGTGTGAACAGGGCACATAGAAAACAATTGTGATTGGAGCTGATATGATGCAGGAACACAACCGTCACCGCACCTAGTGTGAACAAACCCTTCAAGGCAAAGTTTACCTTTACCAAAACACTGCCTATGCAAGTAAGGGGCACCTGTAGATTATTTTTTATTATTATACAGTATTTATAAAGCGCCAATGGTTCGATCAGCGCTGTACATTACAATAAAAACAAATTGTGTACCTTTGACCAAAGTTACTATAGGTGTAGGTCATTCACGTACCTCATGAAGCCTGACCGAAAAACTCCCATAGATCCCATCCCGCCATGTTGCTAGGTTGCTGCTAAGACATGCCCAGCTGTTACTGTTCACCTCCACCGTCACAAGAGCAAGCTCTTTTTTCTGATTCAGACCCTCTCACAAGCTCCATCTCTCCCCGATGCAGAAGCAGTGAGCTCTGAGTTTGAGAGCTTGCTTGTGTGATGGTGGCGCTGAGCAGTAACAGCTGGGAGTTTCTTAGCAACGTCCTAGCAACAAGGCAGGACAGGATGATGGTATCCCTGGAAGTTTTCCAGTCAGGCTTCAGGAGTTATGTAAATGACCTACTCCTATAGCAAGAACATTATTCAATTTTGGTCAAAGTTGCACAGTTTGTTTTTATCTACAGGCGCCTTTTAGCTGCATAGGCAGTTTTTTGATTAAGGTGAACTATGCCTAAATATGAACTATCTGATTTTTTTGTTTTGTTTTGTTTTTTTTTTTTGGGCCATTTTGAGACCTGGAGAAAAGTAAAGTGGTGCCATATGTGTAAATTATTAACAGTCGTTTACTGTCAGGATGCCAACCCTGTTATTTTGTTGCAACAATTCTCAGAAATCACCCAACTTATGTAACCGCTTTAGCCAAGCTGATTCTTCTTTGGATAACGTCACCCAGTGACATGCTGGGCCCATAGTGAAGAATGTAAGGGAGTCATGAAAAGTCATAAAAGTAACCGTGACTGGAAGCTGCACTGGGGCTCACTGATAAGAGTTTTCAGTGCCTGGTACTGGTATCACTGAGGTGCACCCTGTCAGCCATCTTGACTGCTGCTTCAGTATTTGTCTGATGATCTTTGTGGCCTGAGCTGAAGAGGAAGTTATATCGACCTGTAAATGGGCCTCAAGCTTCTGCAGAGGGTGGATACAGATAACACCATTTTCTGTGTTCTATGTTCTAACATTCTAAATGTTTGAAGGAAATTCTTCGCTGTTTGCTGACACTCCTAGGGGTTGGTTTACTAAAGGTAAATATACTGTGCATTGCAAGTGCAGTTGCTCCAAAACTTAGTAAATTAAATGAAGCTTCACTGTGCAAAGAATACCCAATCGCATGCAAGGAAAATAAAAAAACAGCATTTTTGCTTGCACATGATTGGTTGATAGAAATCAGCAGAGCTTCCCCTCAGAACTAGAGCGACTTGCAGTGCACAGACTATTTGCCGTCATTAACCGCAATACCCGCCACCGTATAGCAGATATACTGCTACATGGCGGCACGGGTGCGCAAAATCACCTGTATATATACGTATGTATGTTTGTGTGTATGTATATATATTTGCATAGGGGGCACGTGTAGCCGCGGATGTCAATCACCGGGTCCTGGCCGGTGATTACCGACAATCACCAATGGGGAGGAAGACTGTTTTGTTTACAAACAGTCTTCCTCCCTGTCAGCTCAAGTACACTGCACAGCACAGCCATCTCGATCAGTGTGCTTACAGTGAAGCACACCCCCAGCCCCCTAGTAAAACACTCCCTACACACATTTAACCCTTTGATTGCCTCTCACATTAACCCCTTCCTGCCCAGTGCCATTAGTACAGTGTCAGTGCTGTTTTTTAGCACTGATCACTGTATTGGTGCCACTGGGGATGTCAGTGACACCAAGTTAGTTCCCCCCCCCCCCCCAGTGTCAGAATGGCTGCCGCAGTCCCATTAAAAGTCACTAATCATTGCCATTATTAGTTGAAAAAAAATCCCAGTATCTATACCACCATTTGTAAACGCTATAACTTTCACGTAAACCAATTAATTTACAAATATTGGGATTTTTTTAGCAAAGACATGTAGCAGAATACATTTTGGCCTAAATTTATGATGAAAGTTTGATTTTTTTTTTATTTTTTCACTGGACATGTTTAATAGCAAAAAGCCCAAAATATAGTTTTTTTCTCAAAAGTGTCGGTGTTTTTGTGCTTATAGCACAAAAAATTAAAACCGCACAGGTGATCAAATACCACAGAAAGAAAGCTCAATTTGTGGGAAAAAAAGGACGGAAATTTCATCTGGGTGTGGCGTTACTTTAACTGACAATTGCGCGGTCATGTAACGTAGCGTCATAACGTAAAAAATGGCCTGGTTAGGAAGGGGGGTAAATCCTCTGGAGGACAAGTGGTTAAATCAACCCCCTTGTCTTTGTTTACTACATAAAATTTAAAAAAAAAAAAAAAAACACATTTGAATGGGCTGCTGTGCCCGCGTTTTCTGCAGGAAAAAGGTGCATGCACCTTTTTAAAAATGTGGCCGCAGGGAATCAGCATGGTCTTTTTAACCACGCCATTTCTTTGCGGTTCCCGCACACGCAAACGTGCTGCGGGCAGAGATGCATGGGGGTGCCATTCGGAATGAATGGCAGCTCCAAGCATCTCATAAGAGCAGCATGATATGGCTGCGGGTGGTTGCAGATGCGGGAACAGATGCTATTCCTGCCCCCGTAACCAGCCCGCAGAATGCGTGCAACTGTAAACCTAGCTTCAAAAAGGCTGTGCACACCTGCACCACAAAGCTGCTGGTCTCTAGTAGGTTGTGGACATTGGTTTAGAACAGGGATGTCAAACTCAATTTCATTGCAAGCCACATCAGCATTATGGTTGCCCCCAAAGGGCCGGTGTATATGTAAGATTATATAAATGTATCTACTCTTTATCGTAGTAATTATCTGCCTCTGCATTCGATTATTACTGGTTTTAGTAATAATTTAAGTAAAATCTAGCTCTGAAAGTAGAAGTTTAGGAAAAATATTGGAAAGCAGATATTTAAGTGTGTAACTAATGTACAATAATAATGTCCAGAGCACCCAGCCCCCCTTATATAAGAAGTCAAGAGCCCCCCACAATCAGAAGTCAGAATCCCCCAACCTCCCTTACAATACAGTGAACCCCCCCCTTCCTTACCTTGTGCTGCCAGGATGTAGCTGGGGCAGAGGTGGGAAGCAGAAAGTGCAGGGTGCAGGAGGACCAGAGGAGGGCTGGAGTCAGCTGCCGGAGTCTGCTGAAGACTGAGACCAGGGGAAGTGGAGACCCGGGGAGGCGCCGTGGCTGCACAGAGTGGCGCAGGATCTGTAGGAGGAGTTCCATCGTCCTCTCTGCTGCTAACTGCTGAGCTGGGGCAGAGACGGGCCTCTTCATGGCTGCTTGGAGAAGAGCAGGATCTGGCGGAGGAGTTCTGTTCTCCTCCCCCATCTAGTCTGCACTTTGCAGCAGAGAGGAGACAAGGGGGGTGCCACATCTGCAGGAGAGGTGCAAGGGCCACATGAAATGACATGGTGGGCTGGTTTTGGCCCACGGGTCTTGTGTTTGAGACATGTATGTTAGTGGCTTCATCTCTCGCTTCAAGACTCTTTCAACCCTCCGGACTCCAGAACCCAATCCTCAGAAAAATGTAAACGTTTTCTCCATTCAGAATAGATATTCTGGAGCCCCTCAACCTGCATCAGAGAGAACCCTGAGAGAGGAGTGAATAGGGACAGGGGTCACCATGCACTTTCTAGAATTGTTTGAGCACCAAGACTCTTCTAGGGAGTATATGTCACACTGAGCACGTTCATTTGAAGATTGGTTGGAAGGTATGAGCACAGAGCACTGTTTGAATGGAGTCACATTTAATGCATACTAATTTGACATTTTTGTTACGTGCTGTGTTTTATAAGTTTCGAGTGAGAACCCTGCATGACTTTTTTTTTCCACCGTGGCAGGGCACAGCACTGTCACAGGATATTCAGCATACACTGATACTGCAAATGAATCTTACAACCACAAAAACTGTATATATCTTCTGTAATGCGCTGCAAGATGGGCTCACATGTATTGAGACACATACAGTGTGTGTACAGCCCTATTTACAATATAGAATAGATTGATATTTGATAGAACCAAATCCACAGAGTGAATGTTGCCTGAGATACACTAAAGCTGGTCATACAGTATTAGATGTTTTTTTTCATTTAGCCTGTAGGCTGAATAAAAAAGATCTAATAGATTCCTTCATCCATGCTATACAGTGTGAATGGATGAATCTCTCACTGAGGCTTTGTAATCCAACAGCCAGCACCAGTGGTGGTTTCATGTGGTTTGATTCAGCTTCTGTTCAGCTGACAATTTTCTGCCCAGCTCGTTTTGATTTTCAAACAAAGGATGTCCGGTGGGAGGGGGCCGGCAGGACCATCCAGTATTCAAACCTAACAGCCTATGGCTGGCTTAACTCTTGGCACCAACCGCCTCCCGGCCCTTTAAGGGTTCTAAAAGTCGGGAGGTGGGCCTTTTGGGTATGTGATTGCCTGTTATAGCGGTCACATGATCGGAAAGATCCTGATCACAAATATGGATTGGGAGCCTACTGATCACTGCCAGCTACCATGCTGGGAGCGTGCAAGGAGTGCGCTCTCAGCATGGTAAACACTTTTAACAGGGCTGCATTTATGCGGCCACTCGGCAGTAAGGCCCACACGGCGAACAGCTGGTGTCAAGAGGTTAAAGTGGAATTGAATGCATTTTACAAAAGACTGTGAGCAGGCAGGCTATTATCGCAGACATGCAATGTCTCTTTTACAATAAAATACACCTACCTGCCTGCTCAGTTCTCTGCGGCATGTAAACTGAGCTGCGCATGCACAACTCAGCTTACATCGCCAGCATGGGTTGACTGACTCCTGCACATGCGTGCCCCAGCCAATGGAGATGCCCAAGGACCAGCACTTGAGAATAAGATGCCAGCACTAGCAAAGGACCCAAATCGATGCCAGCGCTGGCAAAGGACCCAGACCTTTAGAGAGGAGGTAAGTAAAGTTGCCTACAGTTCCACTTTAAAGACCAGCAGTTCTTTTAAGTATATGCAGTACTGTATATAATTTAATGTCCACTTCCAGCCAAGCTTTTTTTTTTTTTATATTTTAGTATAACAGGTAAGGACATGAACTTCCATCAGGTTTTTGTTTTGCTGCTTTTCTTCTTCTGACTTCCGGTTTTGGTAGTGGGACAAGAAGTGGACAGAATCTCTTCAGTGGTAACAGGCAACAGAAAAACAGTTGTAGGAGTGAAGAGAAGGTTTGGAACCTCTACCAGGTTTACATTTCTTTGTCTTTACCAGTAGGCAGGATTTCCCTCTATTTCTCTATGTGACAGAAAGTAAGGGAAACGCCCCCAAACAAGGGCATAAACAAAAAAAATCTGGTAGCGGTTCTTACCCTTCCCCACCCTACCCTATCCAAAATGTGGATGTAGTTCCACGTTTAGGGCTCAAGCACGTGGCTATATGATTTTACAGAAGAAAGATCCTACATAAAATCATGTCATACACTGTACATGTGTAACACTTGTGCTAAAGTATATATATATATATATATTGCAAATGAACTCAGGGAGCTTCTGCTACCTAGTACCTGGTTGATAGGATGCTAGGAGGCAGAGGTTACCGTAACCTAGGGTACTAGGTGCCAGAAGTAGCCTGCGCCCTAGCATCCTAGGACTCTAGGCAACATAAACCATGCTAGGGCACTAGGCAGCAGGACCTGCCTGTGTCCTAGCAACCTAGCACGCTAAGAGACAGGAGCAACCAAGGAGGCAGCAGGCTGCTAGGACGCAGGCAGCTTCTGCCACCCAGCATCTAAGATGCAGGTGGCATTCATTGTGCCAAAATGTTACGAATGCTGCATGCATGTAAATGTTAGCACAAACATTTACATACCTACACCATTAAATACAGTCCATAAGCAGGACTTCAGACTCAGATTTTTCAATCCTGTATGTTTTTTTGTATGCAATTGAACACAACTCTAGATTAGAAAAGCATGGGCTCCATTGCATAGTAAACAGCTGTGTTCTGATCTGTCAAACAAAAATTCTGCTTTACGGATATGATTTTGCATCTTTGTGCATGAGCCCGAATACAAAATATGATGGTGTTCTAAAAATGCTGTCCAGCTATCTGACATATAATAAAAATGTTTAATTTCTAATATATCTTTAAACATTACTTCAGAGGGGATAACGTAAAGCTGATGGTAAGAGTAAGCAAATAAAAAAAAAAAAGCTGTTGAACTGGTTCACTTTCTTCAAACACCACACAACAAACACCTGAGATACACTAATCTCAGGTGTTTGTTGTAAAGTGGTGTTGAGTAAGGAGATTCCTGCTGCTGGTAGAAGTATTATGTTTTTACAAGTCCATCTGAAATCTAATCACAAGCGACTCCTAATATTTCATGCGTTGTAGACAATGAAGTGAAGCTGGGAAAACTTAGATATGAACAATATCATTTAAGATGAAGCTGGCCGAATAATTCCAGGTCATATCAATTTCTTATATACAAGGCTATGTCAAGGAGACGAGAGGCTTTTTTTTTAAAACAAGTCCATTTTTAAGATACCTGTGCTCATTTAATATATTTGGGCAAATCAAACAAATTTTCACATCTAATCGTTCAACTTTTTTTTCTTTCTCCTTCTGTTCCCTTAGCGTTTACCGGACTTTCAATTTTCTGCCAGTTCAGATTTCAAGCCTATCGGTCCTTTCACACGGGCAGACTGTCCGTTTTTCTGCAGGACCCAATTGGACCACCCATTGTTCTCTATAGGGAAGCGGCTGTAAACAGACATGTGTCCGTTTACACCCGCCTGCATCCGATCCTCTAAAAACGGATGGGGATCCATTCCTTATCCATCTAGCAGATCTGATCAGACGACAGTCGGATGTGAACGGACAGGCGGCCCATTTACATCCGACTGCCCCTTAAAGAACAGCGGGCTATGCCAGTGTCTGCTCTGCACAAGTGGAGCAGACATGGACCTGACATCCACCTGCTCAACATGGATCAGCGGACAGATCCCCTGCTGATCAAGCAGATCCACACGTGTCTAATCAGATCTGCCCGTTAGTTTTTCAGGTGGACCTGAACGGAAGCTCCATACAGCCCTTTGGGCAGGCTTATGTAAACAGACGTGTGTCCATTTACACTCTCCTACCTCCAAGTCTGTCCAGGTCTCAGCCCCACCCCCCTACTCCATTCCCTCATCACATGATTTGATAAGACAGCAGCAGGAGCCAATGGCTTCTGCTGTTACCACTATGCCCTGAGAGGAGAGAGAGAAAGCAGCGCTGGATCGAGATTGGGCTCAGGTAAGTATTTAGGAGGGCATTAGGTCATAAACCTTAAGCTTTTACCGCCACTTTAATCCCCAAACCAAAAATCGTAACATGTTGCAACCTACTAGTCCTTAATGTGGTGGTTAGTTGTCACTATTTAGCAAGCACGGAAAACCTGTTGATCTTGTCCTTGTCACACTCTGTTAGCACAAAGATCCTTATTTTTATTCCATTAACTACTAGTCCCATCAGTCTAACCTGCAATGGTGCAAAGGCAGACATGTTTGAAGTGCAGCATGGATGACAACCATGGTGGCCCACTTTGATACATTGGAGAAAAAAAAAGCATAGTGATGAAGGGACCGGAAGTGTGTTATTTGCAGGATCACCAGGTGAAAATAAAGAGAAAAGGCCTAAAAAAATAAAGCTAATTCAACCACTAAATCTAAGATCGTCAATCTCAATAAGCTAAGCTTCAGTATATTACATGTTTTTAGTTAGGATACGCTTTACAAACTAAGCTGCCTGACTCTGTGGCCAAGTGGTTGTTTATTTTACACTGAAATGTATTCACCAAAAACCAAAAGTTAAACTCTGTGTAGTTTATAGCATTCTTTTGAAAAAAGCCGGATTTTTTATTTTAACCCAGAATAAGGTCACAATCACAAATGCAAGTGGAACCATTTGAGTTTACCTGCGGGAGACTTAGCAGGGTTCCCTGCAATTAGCTGCAGGCAGGAAGCCCCATTGAAAGCAGTGGGACCTGACAGCAAACGCAGCTATCCATGACTCTTTGCATGTAATCACTCAGTTGACAGTCACTGCATTAGTGATTACATTACGGCCGCAAATAGCTGTCAGGCTCCGATTGCTTTGAATGGGAACCCTGATTCTTCCAAGTGTAATCCCAACATGCCCCATTGGAAAGTGTGGGGCTTAAATGTCAAGAGAGAATTTTTACGGGATGCTTCAAATAATACAGTTTGAAAGTTTTTCTGAGGAAGTCACTATATTCACCTTTCATGGGTAATTACAATATGTATGCATATACAGTGCACAATTTTTTAAAATTGAAAAGTGCCCCACAAAAAAAGTTATTTTCTGTTCTTATTAAAGTGATTACAACAATAAACCTCATTTGTTTTACTTGCAGGAAGTCCAGAAGCGAGCCTCCATGTTTTCTACAAGGTTGGATTTAATTTCCCTTGTCCCGAGTCTTTTAATGGCCTTAATACTGGTTTCCTATGGCGATAATCATGGGAGGAAGGCATCTTTACTACTTCCCTCTATAGGCGGCTTTATTAGTGTCACTGCTTATTGTTCGGTGGCTTTCTTTGAGTTGCCGCTTGAAGTCTTGTATCTCTCTTCAGTAGTCAGTGGATTCCTGGGTGGATTTGCTACATTTTTTGGGGGATGTTTTTCTTACATAGTAGACATAGCAAAGGACCTCCAGAAGAAGAATATTCGCATAGCTTTTATTGACATGATTTTTGGGGTGGCAAGTGGGGTTGCAGGGATCACATCAGGGTACATCATTAATGCACTGGGATTTAATTGGTCATTTTTCATATCAGCAATTTTGCACATTATTAATATTTTGTATATAATTTTTATACTGGAAGAAACTGTAAAAAGGTCAGAATTTTATCAACCTGTACTGAGCAAAGAAGGTTTTAAGGAGCTCTTCTCTGGAGTTTTTTTATTGTTTAAACATGCATCCTGCAAGAAACGACTGACAATCGGGCTGCTGTTGTTTGCTTTTATGTTTTTTTTGTTTGCCGATTTTGGAGCTGCAAGCCTGTTCACCTTATATGAGCTGGACTCGCCTCTGTGCTGGGACCCGGTACTTATCGGATGGGGATCGGCTCTGTCCACATTTTGTTTTGTAGGCAGCTTCCTGGGTGTTTTCCTGTTCACACGCTGTCTGAAAGATTCCTACATCGTCCTCATTGGAATGGCGTCTTGGATTGGAGGGATCATTATGGCTGCATTTGCCACAACAACCGTAACCATGATGTTAGGTAAGGTTCACTGTGGTAACACAGTTTAATTTTCTTTATATGGGGATGCTGTTTTTGAAACTGAAGTTCATAGAAATGCATGTTCGTCCCTTTACATTTATTGGAACATGAAAAGAATTAAGGAGCGTCATCAATTGCCTCCAAGTGCTTGAAAGCCTTTTCCATCAGTAATTCAGATGTTTAGGTACCTGTAATTAGGATTATCCACCGATTTCAGACATTCAAATGGCAACATTTCGTAGCAGTAATTACTGTCTATGTTCACTATTACAAAGATATAAAAGGGCAATGCACTCTGGATAAATATTTTTTTTTATTCTCTGTGACTGTTTTTCTGATTTTTTTTTTTTTTTTTTTTTTTATTCTTAATGACTGTTTTCTGTTTTATTCTCCATGACTGTTTTCTGAACCCTACCTTTAGAATATATGCCCAGCAAAAAGTTTGTTGTTTTTGGAGATTTTCTTTCACTTCTTGCAAGTAGAAACCATTGTGATCAGGAGAGCAGAATTTTGAATAGCAGTTAAAAACAGGGGCTCTAATTCTTCCCACCCTATCCAAAAATTAAAATAAAGGTTTGGCTGAATATAGACTATTTTCTCCTAATATTTGTAGTCTACTTCTACTACTTGTGTGATGACTTGTGCTTGCTGGCATTTTCTCTTGATGATCTTTTAAAGCCCATCTCTGGGTAAAAAAAAGTTTTCCCGTGTAGTGGGCTGTGCCATGTCAACTGCTTATTTGTCTAGGGGTTCGGAGAAAGCATATACTTGCCCAATTCTTTGTTCTTTGTTTCATATTACACTTTGGTTGGTATTGGCATTCACTTACAATAGTGCAGGGATATAATCCGCAGTTAAGTTCCAGGCATGGCTAGAAAACTGAATAACCTGTGCTCTCATGCCTAGTGTGGTCAGTTTTTAAAAAGAAACAGCAGGACTGGCAGGAACACAGGGATTTCACACAAAGGAAACAATACAAAAAAAACAGGATACTTTAATACACGTATGTGGTACAGCAGGCACATATCAGGCATATAAAATGTTGGGTTTACATATTCTTGAAAGCTGATATATGGTCAGGCATTTAGCCAATGCTTCTGGTGTAACTTTAACTGTAAATTTTGGGCCTAGAATTATTGTACTTACTCTGGCATGTGCGGTGGTATGTAATGTGCAAGTGTACAATCCAAACGCACACGTTCCTGCGTTAAAAATGTCTCTGTGTATAAGTGGGTGCTGCAGCGACCGTCGGCTGGAACCAAACAGAATCAGCAACGGAAAGTGTCACCAGCACACCGAGGATCACCAATATGGGTCCAAAAGTTTTAATGAACGATCACATAGTTACAGCAAGGCAACGTTTCGGAGTCTCGCAGGACCCCTTCACATGCCTGATGAAGGGGTCCTGTGAGACTCCGAAATGTTGACCCATATTGGTGATCCTCGGTCTGCTGGTGGCATTTTCTCTTGCTGGTATGTAATGTGCAGAGCAATCAACACTTTCATGCTTGGGTGCCCTGACACGTATTCACCTTTTGTATATGTAGTTTTTTTTAAATTTTTTAATCACATAAGGAACAAAAAGTCCCCTATGTCATACTATTTTTGATGGGCTCTCTTCAATGAAATGCAGTTTTTCTGGGGGGTTTTTTTTATTAAGTGGTCGGGTGGCTGTACAGTCAGTGGGTAAAACATCCTGCTGCTGCTGGTGGCAGCGAAAGGGTTAAATATCTAAATACAAGGTATTAAGAATTTTTTTTTTCTGGAGATGGGAGACAATGCGCATAGTAGCCGATCTTTTAAATTAAAGACCCAGAATATTTAATATTGAAGCAACAAAGTATTTTACATTCTCGATTCGGCTATGCGTTGTTGAGGAGTGAATTCAGTTCTTTACATATGTATTACTGATGGTGACCCAGGGGCGGACTGACCATTTGGAATCTCGGGCACTGCCCGAGGGCCTGGGGTCAGTAGGGGGCCCCATGAGATGCCCCTGGCACCTTTTTCATAGGCTTTTTTGAGTTTGGGCAAGGACATAGGGGCCCCATGATCCCCGTATTGCCCGGGGGCCCCATGAGTTGTCAGTCCGCCGCTGTGGTGACCACTGTCCCAGTAGGTGCTCATTCAGCTGCTGTTATGTGGACAGTTTAAATGCATATTGTGCTTAGCAGAGCATTTGATTGAAGCTGAGCTCTGGGCACCACAACTTCATTTTTTGGCTCCATGCACACTGGATTTAAAATCGCTGCTTCTACAGGAGTTTTGTGTTTTGGCTGTAGAAGCAGCTCAGTGTTCTCTTATGTGTCCATGCACATTAGGACAATTAGAGGCATATTTTAGGCTCAACATTTAAAGGCAAAAAAAAAAAAACTTCTGGTTTGCGTTTTTGATTGGAGCTTTCTGGCAGAAAAAAAAACGCTAAACTCGCCTAAACTGTGCGCAAAAACACTCTATATCAGCGGGGTGGTCTTTTTCTGCCAAGGAAACTGGCGTGTTTTTTTTTTTTTTTTTTTTTTTTTTTTTTTTTTTTTTTATTAAGCCCAGTGTGCATGGAGCCTAACTATATTCTTATAGCCACAAATGATATAAATCAATTTTGCGTGTACCAAATGTGTTTGAAAACCCAGTTGTTACATAAAAAGTAGTGCTGACATCACCACTGTACTGTACATTGTCTGTGCAGAGAGCAGAGCTGTGAGAGGGAACCTATCAGGCTCCGCTTACTACAGGCTGTCTGCAGAAAACTACAGAAGGGGGGCGGAGACCAGACCAGTCAGCCTGTACCAGAAAGGAGAGAGCAGCAGTGACAGGTCTCTATTACAGAAAGCCCCGGCGCAGAGGCAACATTTCACTCTGGATTACTGCACTAATCTGGAAGAAAGACGCAAAGTACACCAAGAGTCAAGCAGGAATACACATGACTCTTGTAAATAAATAATATTAATTTATCCCGTAGCTCAGCTTTAAAGGGGTGGCACTCTTCACCAAGCAACACAACAGGATAAGGATCCGTATTTTCTGAGATTTGAAAATAACAGTCACATGGCTAAAAAGAAGATCCTTCTAATTCTGTTTAGGCTTTATAAACTGAGGCAGTGTAACATTCTTTATCACATGCATTCTAGTGTAAAGAAGAGAGCGGCTGTTTACCTCCAAGACACAACACTGTGCTATGAATATATCTGAGCTTTTCTCTTAAAGCAGTATTAACCACTTCAGCTCCGGAAGATTTTACCCCCTTCCTGACCAGGTCTTTTATTTTCAGTTGCGCTACTTTAACTGGCAATTGTGCAGTCATGCAACGCTGCACGCAGACAACATTTATATAATTTTTTTCACACAAATAGAACTTTGGTTTGGTCATATTTGATTGCAACTGGGTTTTTATGTTCTTGCAATATAAATGAAAAAACGAAAATTATGAAAAAAACGATATTTTTTACCTTCTGTGATAAAACATAGCCAATAAAAACATTTTTTTTTAAAAAAAATCAAATTTCTTCATACATTTTGGCCAAAATGTATTCTGCTACATGTCTTTTATAAAAAAAAAATCCCAGTAAGTGTATATTGATTGGTTTGTGTGAAAGTTACAGCGTGCACAAACTATGGTAGTAATTTTTTTTTTTTTATATACTAGTAGTGGCAGAGATCAGTGACTCATAGCAGGATTGTGATAGGACGGTGGGCAATTTGACACTAACTGACACTTTGTGGGAACTGACTAACTGCCACTGACCTCTCCAGTGACACTAATACAGTGATAATAATATACAGTGACACTGTACTAATGACACTGGATGGGAAGGGGTTAACATCTAGGGGCAAGGGATAACTGTGTGCCTAACAGTGTTTGGTGTTTTTTTCTGTGTAGTGCTTTTACTAAGGGATGTGCCGGTTTTTATATCTTGCTTTGCACATCCCCGCTGACAGGACAGAGTTCTGTGTTGTTTGCATTCACAGAGCTCTGTCCTGTCATCCGCTTCACCGATTGGCAGGTTCCGGCCATCAATCTGGCTGGGACCCAATGATCAGCTCATGTTGTAACTAATCACAGTACAACCGGGGTGGCGGAGAGCGCACACCCCCGACCAGGAAGAGCTGGATCATGAATTAAATATGTGATCTAGAGCAGGGATGCTGCTTTACCAACTTACATCTAAGTGATGCAGTTAGCAAGCGGTTAAACCAAAATGCAAACTTTTATTATATTGCAGCTTAACAATTCTTAGATGTGGTAGCTGCAGTAGTTTTTTTTTTTTTTTAACCATTTTTTATTTTATTTTCAGCCATTAAGTCTGTCCTTTAGATGTAGCAGTTAGAGGGTTGAGACAAGCCACTGACCACTGTAACTAATCACAGCACAAGCGGGGTGGCAGAGTGAGCATGCTCCCTACCCGGAAGAGCTGGATCATGTATTAGATACATGATCCAGCACAGGGATGCTGCTTTGCCACCTTACATCTAAGTCATGTGGTTGGCAGGCGGTTAAACCAAAAAGCAAACTTTTATTACAGCTTACCAATTATTAGATGTGGTAGCTGCATTAGTATTTTCACCTGGTGATCTGGCCAGCAAGTTTGTCCTGTAGATGTAGCAGTTAGAGGGTTGAGACAAACCATTGACCACTGACATGGGTGCTTACAATGGTCAGTGTTTATTAATTTATGTAAAACCTTTATCCCAAAAGGGAAAAAAAAAAAAAAAACTGTTTGCTGCAACGTCTTAAAAAGTGTTAGCTGGAGTTTGGCTTCAGTTTGTTAGTGTATCTAAATTTTCTAGTACATCTAACACTCCGGTCTCCACAAATTAACAATGCTGCTGTCCAAAGGTATCTCTGTTGCTCCTGCATCCAGAGTGGCATCTCTCTAATACAGGAGATGTGTTACTGGCCAGAACACCAGGTGAAAAACAGAGCAAAAAATCCTAAAAAGGAAAACTAGTACAGCCACCACCTCCACCACATATTACGTTTGGTTTTAGGGCCGGTTCACACT